AAAAGTGCTGATGTGACAGGTGATATGTAAGGATTATAGGGCAGATGCAGTGTGCAGTGTGCGGCGATCTTAATTCTAATAAAGTGCTTATGGGACTTGGTATTGGAGATTTCCTAATCGGGGAAGGCACATCGGAACAGCCAGGTCTTCAAGTTCTTTCTGAAGACTGCCAATGTAGGGGCCTGTCTAAGATCTTTGGGGAGGGTGTTTCAGAGACGGGGGGCCACCACGGAAAAGGCCCTGTCTCGTGTCCCCACCAAACGCGCTTGCGACGCAGGCGGGATGACGAGCAGGACCTCTCCAGATGAACGTAGTGAACACGTGGGTTCGTAGATGGAGATGCGGTCACGCAGGTAGGCTGGTCCCAAACCATTCAGGGCTTTGTAGGTAAGCACCTGCACCTTAAATTGGGCTCGGAAGATAAACGGCAGCCAGTGGAGCTCCTTGAACAGGAGCGTTGACCTCTTTCTGTAGGGAGCGCCAGTTAACATCCTGGCCGCTGCTCATTGGACAAGTTGGAATTTCCGAGCCGTTTTCAAGGGCAGACCCACGTAGAGCGCATTACAGGCATGGAGCACCCCGGCCAGATCAGCCTTCGCGAGGTATGGTCGCAGTTGGCGCACAAGTCTTAATTGTGCGAAAGCCCTCCCAGACACCGCCGACGCCTGAGCCTCAAGCGTAAGCAATGAGTCCAAGAGGACTCCCAAACTGCGGACCTGTGGTTTCAGGTTGCCACCCTATACCCCGGTCAGGTTTATGATCGACCAGGAGGACCTCTGTCTTGTCGGGATTGATCTTCAGCTTGTTCCTCCTCATCCAGATAGACACAGTGGCCAGGCACTTGTTCAGCACCCGAGAGGCCTCCTTGGAATTGGGTGGAAATGAGTAATAGAGTTGTGTGTCATCTGCATAGAGGTGGCACCTAACTCCAAAACTCCGGATGACCTCTCCCAGTGATTTCATGTAGATGTTAAAAAGCATGGGAAACAGAATGGAGCCTTGCGGGACCCCACAGGTCAAAGGCCAGGGGTCCGATCAGGCGTCTCCCAGCTTCACCATCTGGGATCGACCCTCCAGGAAGGATCGGAGCCACGACAAAACCGTGCCCCCAAGACCCATTCCAGAGAGACGACCCAGAAGGATACCATGATCGATGGTATCGAAAGCCGCTGAGATGTCCAAGAGAACTAACAGAGTCACACTCCCCCTGTCCAGCTCTCTACGGAGGTCATCCACCAAGGCGACCAAGGCTGTCTCGGTGCCGTGACCAGGCCTGAAACCAGCCTGTGACTGATCTAGGTATTTGATGTCATCCAAAAAGCCCTGGAGCTGGGAGGCGACCACCCGCTCCAGCACCTTACCCAAAAAAGGGAGGTTCTTATGTGCACTGAACACTAGAAGTACATCTTCAAAAATAGTGTGCCCATGGTATCCACTGGATAGCAAAGTCAATGGATGCTTAAGTTTCCTTATGTACAATGGCATAGTAAAATAGTGTCCCTATGGACAGTTGAATTGGAGGATGCAGTGACTGCTGTATCTGGGCTGCTGTGAGTTTTGCAGGCTGCATGGCCATGTTCCAGAAACATTCTCCTGATGTTTCGCCCACATCTATGGCAGAGGATGTGAGGTCTGTTGGAAACTAGGAAAATGGGGTTTATATATCTGTGGAATGTCCAGGGTGGGTGAAAGAACTCTTGTCTGTTGGAGCTGGGTGTGAATGTTTCAATTGGCCACCTTGATTAGTTTATACTGGCCTAGCAGTTTCAACGTCCTCCTTCTTACCTCCAGGGGGAATCCTTTATTGGGGGTGATTAGCTGGCCCTGATTGTTTCTTGTCTGGAATTCCCCTGTTTTTGAGTGTTGTTCTTTATTCACTGTCCTGATTTTAGATTTTTTAAAATACTGGTAGACAGATTTTTTTTCATTTTCGTGGTTTCTTCTTTTCTGTTGAAATTGTCCGCATGCTCATTGATTTCAATGTGCTGTATCTGTTCTACTTGATATCCCATCAACACTGTGTGCCCTCTGCTGGTGCTTTTTTCTGCTGGATTTAATGCCTATCCCTCTCTGGCTATTCTCCAACTTTTCGACTGTTGCTTATATTACAAAATTCCAAGCCTCATTGGTGGCAGGTGGATAGTTAAACTCAGACTTCAATAAGATTAAATATTTATTCTTTCACATGCCCAGATCTCAGTTTCAGCAGATGGTAAATTAGCACCCTTAATGGGCATTAAGCTGCACTTTTATCTAAACACCAGTACACAGAGACGATGGGAGGAGACTACAACTAGAGAGTAAGGACAGGCGGCTTTGTCTAATCTGTTTCCGTGGGCATTCTCCTTTTCCCACCTCCCAAGTCTGTTCTGTCTCAATTCTATGTGGATTTAAAAACAAATAAACACCAGGCACATCTATACATATTTTGTTTTGAGAAAAACCTGGCTGGAAGGGGAAACAAATGAAAAATGAAAACGTAATAAATAAAAGATTACAATGTGATGATAAATAAAATATTGTTTGCCGAGGCACAGTTGGATCAAAGAAAAATGCTGAATAAATAACCAATTTGGAATGCAGGTTATAAAGGTGTTAAAATTGCTTTTGCCCGAGGGCGATTTTATTACATTGTTTAAAATGCAGGATATTATGAATTTTGGTAAAGGACACTTGCTTCTGTACTCATGCCTGCTGAGTCTACACCTATAGCAGATAAACAGTTTATTACGATACTAATACAAGTAAATTAGGGTGGGCAACAGGTGGCCTTACAGGTGATATCGTAACTCCCATCACTTCATACAATGCTCACTTAGTGCATCCAGAGCAGCATTTCTCAACTTGGAGGTCGGGACCCATGGGTGGGTAGCGAGGTGGATGTCAGATGAGTTGCCAAAGACCATCAGAAAATACAGTATTTTCTGTTGGTCATGGGAGTTCTGCGTGGGAAGTTTGGTCCAATTCTATTGTTGGTGGAGTTCAGAATGCTCTTTAATTGTAAGTAAACAATAAACCCAGCAACTATGAGGAGCAGCTTAAGGAGCTGGGCATGTTTAGCCTGAAGAAGAGAAGGCTGAGAGGAGATATGATAGCCATGTATAAATATGTGAGAGGAAGCCACAGGGAGGAGGGAGCAAGCTTGTTTTCTGCTTCCCCGGAGACTAGGACGCGGAACAATGGCTTCAAACTACAAGAAAGAAGATTCCACCTGAACATGAGGAAGAACTTCCTGACTGAGAGCCCTTCAGCAGTGGAACTCTCTGCTCCGGAGTGTGGTGGAGGCTCCTTCTTTGAAAGCTTTTAAACAGAGGCTGGATGGCCATCTGTCAGGGGTGATTTGAATGCAATATTCCTGCTTCTTGGCAGGGGGTCAGACTGGATGGCCCATGAGGTCTCTTCCAACTCTTTGATTCTATGATTCTACGAACTGCAACTCCCAAATGGCAAGGTCTATTTTCCCCAAATTCCACCAGTGTTCACATTTGGGCATATTGAGTATCCATGCCAAGTTTGGTCCAGATCTATCATGTGCTTAGAGTCCACAGTGCTCTCTGGATGCAGGGGAACTACAACTCCAAAACTCAAGGTCAAAGCCCAACAAACTCTTTCAGTATTTTCTGTTGGTTATGGGAGTTCTGTGTGCCAAGTTTGGTTCAGTTTCCACTGTTCAAGGAGTTCAAAATGCTCTTTTATTGTAGGTGAACTGTAAATCTCAGCAATTACAACTCCCAAATGACAAAACCAATTCCCCCCCAACCCCACCAGGATTCGAATGTGGGTGTATCCGGTATTTGTGCCAAATTTGGTCCAGTGATTGAAAATACATCCTGCATATCAGACGTTTACATTACTATTCATAACAGTAGCAAACTGAAAATTATGAAGTAGCAACAAAAATAATTTTATGGTTGGAGGTCACCACAACATCAGGAACCGTATTAAGGGGTTGCAGCATTAGGAAAGTTGAGAATTGCCATTGTATTGTAACTCCCATCATTCTAACAACGACAACGATTCTTTATTGATCAGTCAATTTTGACCATATCAAAACATGCGAAACATACAAAACATACACACTTGCCCATACATAAAGTAAAACCATATATGAATACAAGGCAGCCCGGCCTGCTGGCCTATTGACCCACACCTAAATGATTGTGCAACTACAAGATTAAAAGATTAAAAATTAATTAATTCCTTAAAATAGGGATTGGGTGGGGGTGCGGGTAGGCAAAACTAGTGGCATATCCATATTAAGTTTTTAAGTTTGAATTTTGTTGGTGGCAGCACGGTCACCTCTCGCTGCTTCCATCTTCTCGCAGATGGCCAGCGCTTTTTGTGTAAAAAGGGTCAATTTTAAAATAGAGTTTTTATCTGAACCCTGTAGGAGGATGTGCACTTTCTCCTTATTCTCTAAATATGTATGATTCTCCAGCAGAGGCTCTAGGTAGTAAGACCGGATCCTGTTTGTAGTAGGGACATTTTAAGAAAAAATGTTCTGAGTCCTCCACTTCTGCATCTACCTCACGGCACGCACAGGTTCTCCTCGTGTAGGGAATTTTCTGGTGTCGTCCCAACTTGGACTTAATGTCAAGCTGCTCAAATCTAGCCCGGGTAAAAGGTTTTCTAATATATAGTAGAAGTACAAAAGAGAGATAAGGTTCCATGCCCACGTTACATTTAAATTTGGCCAGGTATGGAGTGGCTCTAGCTTGCGCTATAATCATTAGATCATTTTGCGCAGCAATGTCTAGAGCTCTTTGATATACAATTGAGCATACGTTTGCTCCAAAATTTATTAACTCGTGGGCCCATCATTCCAAATAATGTCACTAGTGCACCCAAAGGAACACAAGTTGCCCACATTACCATATATGAGATTCCACCACCCTCAAAGGACAAATTGCATTCTCATGAGTACTGGGATCAATTTGCTTGAAAGACAAGTATATATAAAGCACTGCTATCTAAAGTATAAAGAAAAGAAGACATAGCTCTTGATTTATAATTACTTTTATTCTTAAAATGCATATAAAATATAAAAAGGCCACATTGAGAAGATAAAAGGGGACACGGGGAGGTCAGGACGTACAATACTGATTTCGGTTATAGATATGTCATGAAAGGAACCCGTTTTCTGAAACTAGGAAGCAAACTGCCCATTTAAGGCAACAGGAAGACCAAAATCTATTCTAATTACAACTGTTTGTGCAATTAGCAGGGCAGGCTTGCCCAACGTGGTGCTCTCCAGTTGTATCAGACTACAACTCTTAAGAGATAATGGGAGATGTACTCCAACATCTCAGGAAGCCATCGTATTGAGGATGTCTGTAAAAGGAGGCAGGCAGGATCTCCCCAGTTTTAGAAGTGAAGCTGAAATGATTCGCTTCATTTCCCCAGCCCATACTATCATTTTAGTACAGTGGTTCTCAACCTGTGGACCCCCAAGTGTTTTGGCCTAACTCCCAGAAATCCCAGCCAGGTAACCAGCTGTTAGGATTTCTGGGAGCTGAAGGCCCAAACATCTGGGGACCCACAGGTTGAGAACCACTGATTTAGAAGTTAGTAAAACCATAGACTCATACTTGGCGAGAAATAGTAGGAAGACACTTAAGTTGGAATGCGAGATGGGAAGGGAGCTATGATGGTTGTCGCCTATGTCTTTGTTCTAACAAAATGCACATGACCAGAATATTTTTCTCGGGGCTATTTCACACATTACACCAAAGCTAACAGATTTGCCATTTGAGGGGTCAGTAAACAAAGAATTACAGATAATCGTGGTTCCTTCAGTGAGCAAATATGTATTTGCAAAGCTTATCACCCGTGCAACATGTCAAGTTAACACCTAAACTGCTGCTGTTGTTTTCAAAGTGTGTGTAATTTCAAAACACCCTTAATGAAAATGAAACTCAATGTTATGAGTAATTTCTACAGCCAAATTTGAACTGTTTTATCTTCACATTCATTTCAACAGTTGAGATAGTCGCTTCAGATTTTGAGTTCACGAGATTTTTGAGTTCTGCTGTGCACAAAACATACTCATTTTCTACCTTCATTGCTCCTCCAAAATGTACATGATTTCAGGGCTTTCTATTAGAATTCATCAATTTCCTACATCTCATCCCACCTGATCTTTCCGCATCTGAGTTTCAAATGCATTAAAAACATGATAGCATCCCCCCCTTTTAAAACAAGCTTATGTTCGACTAATTGAAAATAAATGTTTTGGAAATAGATCCACATAACCTACACATTCGTCTTTTAAAAGTAAGTGTTAAAGGTAAAGGTTGATTCTTGGCCACACTGCAAAATATAATTTTATTTAAAAAATGAAAAATTTGGAAAAACAAAAGTTGGTTCTCTATTCTCATGTATATAATTTTTTTAAAGGGACAAAGCAACCATTTCTAGCTGGAGAACACCAGAGACATGTTCCCTGAATACCATGGCACTTCATTCTGCCAGCAAACAATTCGCATGCACAATGCATGCAAATATCTCAAAAGACCAGGGAAATGCCCAGTGTAAGGTGGCACACCTTTAACTTGCCCTATCATGTGAAGTACATGATAGCACAAAGAGCAGAGGTGATTCACTCACAGTGCAACAGCCCCAGTGGATCGTGTAGGATTTTGTACCATGATTGCCTTTGGAAACAGCAAAAGAGTTAAGACAGCGAAATTCAGAGGAGAATGGGACCCTTTTTCAAGGCAAACGGAGAGATCTCCCTATTGAGGGTCACTCCTTCTTTCGAAGGTGGATGTAAATGATTCCGCTGATCATTGCCAAGGGGAAGGAGAGCCACGCCAGCACAAAACAGTAGCCAAAGGAGCCTCCTGGCATCCGTCTATGCTGGAACTCATCCACATGAACAGTGTAGATCACGGCGGCAGTGAACACGGAGATAGCTGGGAAAAGGTACATCAGAAAATTAGATGTGTATCCTTGGCTGTATCCTTGTTGTACATTGTATGATGATGATGATAATAATAATAATAATAATAATAATAATAATAATAATACACTTTATTTATATTCTGCCCTTCTCACCTAGTAGACTCAGATCAGATTATAGCATATACAGTAGACCAATAGTTCTCAACCTGTTGGTCCCCAGATGTTTTGGTCTTCACCTCCCAGAAACCCCAACAGCTGGTAAACTGACTGGGATTTCTGGGAGTTGTAGGCCAAAACACCTGAGGACCCATAGTTTGAGAACATTCAATGCCTTGATTACAAACACATACAATGAGACATACAGACAAAGGCAAAGACTCCTTTCATTTCCAACTTCTGGAGGTGGTGCTCATCTCTGGCTCTGGGAGAGGTACTTTTCTCCATTTCCAAGCCGAGGAGCCTGTGTTGTCACCTCCTGGTCGTGTGGCCAGCAAGACTGCTTGGAGTGTCCTTTTGCCTTTTCCTGCCGAAGCAGAATCTATTTATCCACTCACATTTGCATGTTTCTGAACTGCTAGGTTGGCAGCAGTTAGGCTAACAGTGGGAGCTTACAGCGTCCCGCAGATTTGAACTGCCAACCTTCAAGTCAGCAGTTCAGCAGCACAAAGGTTTGACAAAAAAAGGGGGAAAGTGGAAGAAGGTGAGAAAAATGGGGACATTTCAAAAGCAACTGAAAAAGTGGAATGAAGGAGGATTAATCATGGCTGTCAAATTAGGACAGTTGAACAGTGTGAACATTGGGTTGTTGCTATATGTCCATGTTCTAGAAGCATTCTCTTCTGACATTTTGCCTGCATCTATAGCAGGCATCCTCAGAGGTTGTGAAGTCTGTTGGAAACTAGACTTAGATTTAGATATATGTGGAATGTCCAGGGTGGGAGAAAAAAACTCTTGTCTGTTGGAGCTAGGTGTGAATGTTTCAATTGGCCACCTTGATTATTTATTTATTTATTTATTTTATTTACTGTCCTTGTATACCGCCGTTTCTCAGCCTAACTGGCGACTCAACGCGGTTTACAACAAAATATACAGTGCACAGTATACAATTAAAACCATAAAAAACATAATACACAATATTACACGTAAATCACAATCCAATACATCTCCTAACTAAAATCGTGGTCCAATTTCATCATCCATATTACCAATCCGTAATCAACACATTCATTGCACCGAATTAACCAAATGCCTGCTTGAACATCCAAGTTTTTAGTCTTCTTCGGAATACCATCAGCGAGGAGGCTGATCTTACCTCCATGGGAAGGGCGTTCCAGAGCCGAGGGGCATTTGATGGCCTGTCAGTTTTTAGATGTAACTTGCTACTGCCTGGGGGAATCTTTTGTTGAGAGGTGATTAGCTGTCCCTGATTGTTACTTGGTTGGAGTTCCCCTGCGTTTGAGTGTTGTTCTTTATTTGCTGTTATAATTTTAGAGGTTTTTTAAATACTGGTAGCCAGATTTTGTTCATTTTCATGGTTTCCTCCTTTTGGTTGAAATTGTCCACATGCTTGTGGATTTCAATGGCTTCTCTGTTTAGTCTGTCATGGTTGTTATTTATTATTTATTTACGACATTTATATGCCGCCCTTCTCACCCTGAAGGGGACTCAGAGCGGCTTTATAAGATATATACATACAATATATTATATCATTAGCATAGTACAATATCAGTATTAGGTATTACTATATTGTACTATACCATTATATTGTAATATTATTAATAATATTACATGTAATATAAATATATAATTATAATATCTTATTATTAGTATTATATTGCATTACATTATAATATTATAAATATTATATGTATATACAATATATTATATTGCATTATATTATATTCTGGAATGTTTGCTGTTTTGGAAGCTAAGATAGTAAAAAAATTTAATATAACTCCAGGCCACTCATTTGACTTCTCAAATTGTGTTTCTCTCCTGATCAGCCTGTTATTTGAGTGGTCCAGCATGTCTGTGGCTACCAGTATTTAAAAAACCTCTAGAATCAGGACAGTAAATAAATAGCAACAAACAAAAAAAAACCCCAGGGGAATTCTAGACAAGAGTCAACCAGGCGCAGCTAACGCCTCCCAATAAAGGATCCCCCCAAGCAGCAACCAGCCATACTTTGAAGCTGCAAGGCTTTTGGATTTCAATGGCTTCTCTGTGTAGCCTGACATGGTAGTTGTTAGAGTGTGTTCTCAAATAATATGCTATGTCTAGGTGTGAACATCATCCCAGTAAATTTCATGGATCAGTAGGGAGCTGGATCTGGGTCTTCCAAGCACCAGTCCAACATTTCAACCACAATACCACAATGTACACCGCAACTCAATGTATATTACAACTAAAACAGAAATCCACCCACACTATTCCTTACCAGTTAGGATCTGGAAGACTCCAGTGGCGTAAAACAGACTTCCTCGCTTCATGGTGTAGAGCTGACACATGAAGATAATGAAGGCAAAACTGGAGAAGAGAAGACTTAAAACCATGAAGGCTTGGACTGCTTGAAGCCATGCTGGGTGGAAAGATTAAAGGGAAGCGGGGAAGAGTCAGGAAGGAACTGTGCAAATATAGCTATCTCTAGGGTAAGAAGTTGCTATAAATACCATTACTGTCCTCTCCAGAAGACACATCGTAGCCTCCTAAATACTCACCACTTTCAGACACTGAGTAACAACGCCAAGTGTGTGTGGTGTCGTTCAAGACGCAATCATACCAGATGTTAACTGTTTCTTTATCCGGGAGGACCCACCATGACTGAAGGAAGGGAGGAAGAAAAAGAAGAGAATTACAAGAGAGGTTTTGTAGATCACATCAGCAAAAAAAGATAGTCAAAGTTTACATTGGTTTGTCTAATTAGGAGGCGTAGGAGCCAGCATGGTATAGTGATTTCAGCATTGGACTGGGAATCTGGAGACCCTCCTTGGTCATGGTATTGGTAACCCACTGGGTGCCACTGGGGAAGTTACACTCTCTCGGGGTGCATCTACATTATAGAGTTAATGTGGTTTGACTCCCATACTCAATGCTATGGAATCATGGAAACTGTAGTTCTACAAGCTCTGTGGCCTTTTATTCTATCAGTGCCGGTGTCACACCAAACTACAACTCCCAGGATCCCCTATCTTTGAGTCACGGCAGCTAAAGTGGAGTCAAACTGCATTAATTCTACAATGCAGATGCACCCTCCATGTTAAAGGACGGTGGAGACAGATCTCTTCTAAACAAATATCTGGAAGGCTGAATTACAATATAATTCTATTCATGTCTACTTAAATGTAAGCCCAATTGCATCAATACAGCTTACACCTAGGAAAGTGAATGCAAAACAGCAACCTCTGCGGGCAAATCTAGCTGTATGGTTTTCTAGACAAGTCAAAATATTGTTTTCATGGGTTGTTGTGAGTTTTCTGGGATGTATGGCCATGTTCCAGAAGCATTCTCTCTTGACGTTTCACCTGCATCTATGGCAGGCATTCTCAGAGGTTGTGATGTCTGTTGGAAACTAGGAAAATTGAGTTTATATATCTGTGGAATGATATTCAGGGTGGGAGAAAGAACTCTTGTCTGTCGTGAATGTCAATTGGCCACCTTGATTAGCATTTGATGGCCTGACAGATTTTTTAAGGTGTAGCTTGTTACTGCCTGGGGAAATCCTTTGTTGGGAGGTGATTAGCTGACCCTGATTGTTTCTTGTCTGAAATTCCCCTGTTTTTTAGTGTTGTTCTTTATTTACTGTTATGATTTTAGAGTTTTTAAATACTGGTAGCCAGATTTTGTTCACTTTCATTTCATTCATGAAATCATAACAGTAAATAAAGAACAACACTCAAAAGCAGGGGAATTCCAGACAAGAATCAATCAGGGCCAACTAACACCTCCCAACAAAGGATTCCCAAGTAGCAATCAGCCAGCCTTTGAAGCTACAAGGCCATCAAATGCTAATCAAGGTGGCCAACTGCAACATTCACACCTACCTCAAACAGACACAAGTTCTTTCTCCCACCCTGGACATCATTCCACAGATGTATATATGTATGTATGTATGTATGTATGTATGTATGTATGTATGTATACACACACACACACACACACACACACACAATTTTCCTACTTTCCAACAGACCTCACAAGTTCTGAAGATGCCTGACATAGATGTAGGCAAAACACCAGGAGAGAATGCTTCTGGAACATGGCCATACAGCCTGGAAAACTCACAACAACCCAATGATTCCGGTCATGGAAGCCTTTGACAATACATTATTTTAATGGTTTACAGTGATTTGCAAAGGAAACATAGCTTTATTTGGGTGTTATAAATGATATTCCTCTATTACAAATGAAATGAGGAACATCCTCCTTTTTCATCTTTTTCCTTGTGTGAAGACCAGCTTTCAATTCTAATATTGGTTTGTCTCATTTACGTATATGGTTCATTTTATGCATGTACCACTTCATAATGATTTTCAGCTCATTTTAGGTATACCCCAATTAATAATGATATTCAGCACTCTAGACACCCACTCTTGTTCCAGTCCTGGCTAAAAGCAACCTTGTAAGGTCAGTCCGCATTATTATCCTTCTATTGTAGTTGGACGCTGAACATGAACAAGAGAGAAAAAGAACTAAATTTGCCTTTGTGAGTTCCTGGCAGGGGTGCGATAAGGACGACAGACTCCCTGATGTGTTTTTTAGCTACTGTACTATAGCACCAGACACAATATGGGGCTTGTGTTACTTTTAGACTATCTGAATTCAGATTACACGTTGATTTTGGCAATGTGACTATTACTTTTAGGAGAATTATGGACAGATCTCAGCAGAGCTTCCAACACATGTCTCCAGGACAGTGTTGGAGAAGGAAAGAAAAATGGAAAGGGGTGCATCTACAGCAGTGTTACAGCAGTGAGTTTTCCGGGCGGTATGGCCATATTCCAGAAGCATTTTCTCCTGATGTTTCAGCCACATCTATGGCAGGCATCCTCAGAGGTTATGAGGTTAGTTGGAAACTAGGCAGATGGTGGTGGAGAGATGGTGGTGGGTATAAATAATATTAATAGTTATTATTATTATTATTATTATTATTATTATTATTATTATTAATCAAGGTTGCCAATTGCAACATTCACACTTCCCTCAAGCAGACAAGAGTTCTTTCTCCTATCCTGGACAGTGTTCCACAGATATATAAACCTCACTTGCCTAGTTTCCAACAGACCTCACAACCTCTGAGGATGTGGGTGAAATGTCAGGAGAGAATGCTTCTGGAACATGGCCACACAGCCCGGAAAACTCACAGCAACCCAGTTTGGGGAACCTTTCTAAATACTTTGCTGAAATCAAGACAAATTATATACAAAGCCTCTATTAAACCACTGACCTGATCAAAAAAAGATATGGCAGGATTTGTTCTTGACAAAAACCCCGCTGGCTCTATTCTAAACAACTTCTGATGGCCTTTTAGGCTAAGAAACTATTTAAATTTGCCCTCAGAACCAGGAATTGGAGAGTTACTGTTGTCCTTACTTGTTACAGTGTTTTGAGAATTCCCTATTCTTGTTACTTGTTATAAACAAGTAAACAACAAGCCCCAGAATTCTGCAGAAGGCAGAAACTGGATTTAAAGTGGATCCATGCTCTAGTGCAGGCATGGGCAAACTTTGTCCGTCCAGGTGTTTTGGGTTGAAAGACCGAAGTTTGCCCGTGCTTGCTCTAATGTGATGAGGCTACTATGAGAATGGGGGTGAGACAACAGGAAGTTAGACAAATCTACCTCTAGGAAGGGAAATTCACTCCTAAAAGAATAGTCATGGAGAAAAGGAGTATCCACTGAAGCTTTAGCACCAATCCTTGTTTCCACAACAAGCCATTTTTTTCAAAATCCAATTGTCACGGGGACAGAAAAGTGACACGAAATCTTGTCAACAGGGGCACAAACAGCAAAACAAGAACCACATGGGTGTTAATCCTTCCCTATGCTATCCAAAGCTTGTGTGTGTGTGTGTATCCTGTGCTATATTTAAAAATGGACTTGTTTCGACTTACATACAAATTCAACTTAAGAACAAACCTACTCTCTTGTTTGTAACTTGGGGACTGCTTGTATATTTTTGTTTACTGCAGTGTTTCTTAACCTGGGGGTAGCGACCCCTTGGGGGAGGGTCATGAGGGGAGGTCAGAGGGGCTGCTAAAGACCAACAGAAAACACAGCATTTTCTGTTGGTCGTGGGGGTTTTGTGTGGGAAATTTGGCCCAATTTTACTGTTGGTGCAGTTCAGAATGCTCTTTGATTGTAGGTGAACTATAAATCCCAGCAACTACAACCCCCAAATGTCAAGGTCTATTTCCCTCAAACTCCACTGTGTTCATACTTGGGCATATTGAGCATTTACGCCAAATTTGGTCCAGATCTGTCATTGTTTGAGTCCACAGTGTTCTCTGGTTGTAGGTGAACTACAACTCCAAAGTGCAAGGTCAATGCCCACCAAACCCTTCCAGCATTTTCTGTTGGTCATGAGAGTTGTGTGTGCCAAGTTTGGTTCAATTTCATCAGTGGTGCAGTTCAGATTTCTCTTTGGTTGTATGTGAACTATAAATCCCAGCAACTACAACTCCCAAATGACAAAATAAATCCCACCAGTATTCAAATTTGGGCGTATTGGATACTTGTGTCAAATTTGGTTCAGTGAATGAAAATACATCCTGCATATCAGATGTTTACATTATGTTTCATAACAGCTGCAAAATGACAATTATGAAGTAGCAACGAAAATAATCTTATGGTTGTGGGTCACGACAACATAAGGAACTGCATTAAGGGGTTGTGGCATTAGGAAGGTTGAGAAACACTGGCTTAGTGATAAGAGAGCATTCCAAAGGGGTGCTGTGCAGGCACAGATAACCCACTTGTGTGATTCACAAAAGACCACGAAGAAGAATGCGAGTTCCATCTTCACTGCCATATAATGCATTTTCAGAATGCAGTTTCAATGCACTGAATTGCATTTATGGCAATGTAGACTCATATACCCCATTCAATGCAGTCAAACTGCATTCTGAAACTGTATTATATGGACATGTAGATGGCTCCAGGGTATCAAGATACATGAATGGTATAAGAAATTTTAGACCTTTCCCTCTTGATCGATCTCACATGCAAACTGTCTTCTATGTAAGCTTTTTTTCTCTAAGCTACAGGGGAAAAGCCTAACTTTAGGAAGCAACAATTAAACGACAATAACTCATAATGCGATGCTTCTGCTCCAAATGGAGCCTAAAACATTGAGGGATTTGCATGCATAGGGTTCCGGTGTTAATTGTTTCCTGCGGGGAAGGAGGGCAGGAAGAATCTCAAAAAACGATGACATCAAGTCTGAAATATTAAATGAATTTTTAAAAATAATACATGTAAATTGTCTATGCTGAGCGGAAGCCAAATTCATGCCTACGGTACAACCCCAACTTATGTTAATAGGCATGCTGTTCCATTTTCAGCAAGCTGTCAGCTCTCAGGGAAATACTTGTCAGGACTTAATGAAGACAAGGAAGTACACACAGACACAGTGGCAGAATAAATGGCACATCCGCCCCCAAACACAGGCTCAAGATGGAGCCGCTGGCAGAGCTATCAGTCTGAAAAGAAAGGGAAGGAAAAGATAGGAATGGGGGGAAAAAACCCTCCACGTTTTTTAGGTTGAGATGGGAAGAGTAAGAAATCCAAGTAGTGTCGAAGGCTTTCATGGCTGGAATCACTCAGT